TTTTTCCTTCAGTCACAGAGTTGTCAGGAAGTGGAATAGCCTGGGTAGTGATGTAGTGGAGGGAGGATCCATACATAGCTTTAAGAAGAGGTATGATAAAGCTCATGGAGCGGGAAGAGTGACCGGTTAGCGGCTAGTTGAAGAGGCGGAGCCAGGAGCTGTGAATCGACCCCCACAACTAGAACTAGGTGAGTACACCCTCCACCTGGTTACAGGTGAAAGGTTGGCTTGCGACCCGAAAGGGTTTAGCTCTTCTACATAAATAATAATAATGTGACCCACTATAGAATCATTACAGACCCTTTACAGAATCATTACAAAACCATTACGAAATCCCTATAGACCCACTACAAAACTATAGACCTGTAATAATCAGTACAGAGCCTCTACAGAATCATTTCAGACCCACTATATAATCTGTACAGATCCACTACATAATTAGTACGGACCCTCTAACGAATCACTACCGATCCATAACAGATTCATTAGACCCACTACAAAATCACTACGAATCCACTACAGAACCACTACACACCAATCACAGAGCCATTACAGAGCATTTATAGCCAACTGGATGATGCTTTCTCGAGTTATGAGCAAAATAAAAACGAAAAGCTTAGGGAATAAAAAATAAATCTAGTCAAGTTCATAATTAAAGGTTCTACTTCCTTCCGGGACTCTTAATAAGTAGATAAACAGCTAAAACACAAGTATCTTTTACCTTTCCTCTTTGAAACCCCTCAAGGAAGGTTCCTTGATGTTGGTGAGGGGCTCTTGATTTAGGGAATTGGATCTGTGCTCCAGTTCCCCGAATTAAGCCTGAATGCCTTCCACATCCCCCCCCCCTAGGCGCTGTATAATCCTCCGGGTTTAGCGCTTCCCCCTTGATTATAATAATAATAATAATAATAATAATCCTCTTTGAAAGTATCTACACAAAATGTAACTAGATCTGAGCCAGACAAGATGTTTCGCTCAAGGCCAGGACAGATGAGTTTAGTGCTTGTGTACTTTATCTACATCTACGTCCTCCTGACCCACATTCTTGCCCTTCAAGAAGTCTGCAGTTATTAGCACATCAAGATCCTCTGAGCATCTTGTGTGGCGTGGGCAAATCTCCTCTAGTTTATCATATATTAATCCTCTATTTATATTAAGTTATTTAAGTCTGTCATCACAGATGACGTGCGCGCGAGAGTGCGTGTACATGCGTGCATTCATGTGTGAGAGGTGTGTGGGCGTGGTAGTTTTTGGGAACACTTCATGTGGATTACCTTGAAAGTAACGAGGTGCAGGTTGGTCAGGGAAACAGGTTTGACGGTCGGCAATACCATAATAACGAACAGTACATAACACTTATTAACGACTCAGTATTGTTCAACGAGCTAGACAGATAAAATAATTCCCTTATAAAACTTACAATTAAAAGGGTCAATATTCAGACAACCCCCTCCCTCACAACCTACCCAAAGTGATCAGGACACTGCCTCTTCATAACCTCTTTTCTTGTTTACCCCATAACTTTCTTTTCTGCTCTATCCAACCCTAGTCATTTCCGTTTCCACTCTTGCTAGCGATATTATTGCATAACCTTCCCTTACCCCCCCACCCACAAAAAAAAAGTATCCAGGTAAAACGACCACTACATATGACCAGACGGCTGCGGTGAAGGTTGCGGGGGGGGGGGGGGCGTCAAGGAGAGGGTTAAACACGAATTACCAGTCTGTTTTTTTCACAGCATATGCGAGATATATCCAGTCAGCCATACCTGTCACCTTCTTGCACAGACAACTGGCTGTTGCTTAAGAAACGTACTGCTGCTTCTGATGTTTTTTGGTCACTTCTACTGCTTCTTGTTGCTGCTGGCAGACATTTTCGTTTTTGCTGCTTCTTTGGCTGTTTTCCACTGAATCTGTTGTTGATTTTAACTGCTTGCATTTCTGTTTTTGCTTGCGCGAAATGCTCTGCATAACTATGGGCTTTTTGCATGCACAACTAAATGTCACCCATCTCTGTTTACCTGGAGAGAGTTCCGGGGGTCAACGCCCCCGCGGCCCGGTCTGTGACTAGGCCTACTGGTGGATCAGAGCCTGATCAACCAGGCTGTTACTGTTGGCTGCACGCAAACCAACGTACGAGCCACAGCCCGGCTGGTCAGGAACCAACTTTAGGTGCTTGTCCAGTGCCAGCTTGAAGACTGCCAGGGGTCTGTTGGTAATCCCCCTTATGTATGCTGGGAGGCAGTTGAGCAGTCTCGGGCCCCTGACACTTATTGTATGGTCTCTTAACGTGCTAGTGACACCCCTGCTTTTCATTGGGGGCTGTTGCGTCGTCTGCCAAGTCTTTTGCTTTCGTATTGAGTGATTTTCGTGTGCAAGTTCGGTACTAGTCCCTCTAGGATTTTCCAGGTGTATATAATCATGTATCTCTCCCGCCTGCGTTCCAGGGAATACAGGTTCAGGAACCTCAAGCGCTCCCAGTAATTGAGGTATTTTATCTCCGTTATGCGCGCCGTGAAGGTTCTCTGTACATTTTCTAGGTCACCAATTTCACCTGCCTTGAAAGGTGCTGTTAGTGTGCAGCAGTATTCCAGCCTAGATAGAACAAGTGACCTGAAGAGTTTGTAGATGAATGTTCTTCAAGATTCTCCTTTGTATGGACTGATGAAGCCACTGTGTGGCGAAACGTTTCCTCAATAAAGATACCCAAGAGTTGCACATGTGTCTAATTTATCGACCTGAAGAGTGTCATCATGGTCTTGGCATCCCTAGTTTTGAAGGTTCTCATTATCCATCCTGTCATTTTTCTAGCAGATGCGACTGATACAATGTTATGGTCCTTGAAGGTGAGATCCTCCGACATGATCACTCTGTGCAATTATTATTACAATAAAAAATGAAGTGCTAAACTCCATCTCTCTACAAACATTGTATCATACCTGGATGAGTATACTTGGCGGGTGTTTCGGGGGTCAGCGCCCCCGCAGCCTGGTCCTTGAAAAAAAAATATTATTAAAGCTTCTTGTTGTTTTCCAATTTATCTGTTGTTGTTTTTAACTGCTTGCACTGCTGTTTCTGCATCATCAAGGCTGCTTGTAACCTGTAAACCACCAGAAAATGATAATGTAATCCCTTAATCAGGGACAAAAGTAAATTCTCAGCATAATTGCTGGAAGATACCTTTCGGGGTATATATGTAGTGCCGAATAGGTAAAATTGGTCAATTAGCGAAAACTCATTTACAATTAAGTCCCTTCTAAAATTTTCTCTTATACGTTTAAAGATATATATTTTTTTTCATTTACGTTAATGTAAAAATTAATAATTTTGTACCAAAAGAACCTTAGAAAACTTACCTAACCTTATTACAACAAGTGCAATTTAGTTTAGCTTAATACAACTAAATACATTTTAGATAAGTTTACAACAATTTGATAATAAGCAAACAATGAAATATATATTTTTTCGTTAGATTCAGAATGATTTTTGCGAAATTATTGCATACACAAATTTTCGCTTGCCTTATTCGGCAAGAAGAGCGTTGTATTTAACCAAAATCGCAAGTATTACCTATTCGGCATGACATATATATACCGAGAGATTACAAACTTAGAGGTTTATAAATCCAGAAGTAGCAGTAGCTGCTGCTGCTACTGCTGCTGTTTCTGTTGTTGTCGTGCTGATGCGTCTGTTCATACTGCTCCTTTTCTAGTAATGTTCTCTACTGTTATATTGTTGTTTCTTTTGCTACTGCTGGTGCTGCTGCTTCTGTTGTTGCTGCTTACTTTTTTTTTGCTGTTGACTTATTCCGGTTGCTTCTGCTGCTCCTGTTACCGTTGTTGTTGTTTCCACTACTTAATGTTTCTGTTACTGACACTATGTTGCTGCTGTTGCTTCTGTCTATTATTTATACGTTTCATGTTTTTTTTTTTTTTGCTGCTTTTGTTGTCACTGCTTACTATTTTTGCTTTAGATGCTGTCTTATGTTGCTGCTGTTTGTGTTCGTCGGTGCTCCTCCTCCTGTTGCCTCTGCTTCACTTTCTGTAGACGCTGTTTCTGTTGCGTTTGCTTGTGTTGTCGCTGCTACTGCGCTACTGTTGCTGCTACTGCGCTACTGTTGCTGCTACTGCGCTACTGTTGCCGCTACTACCACTGTTGCTGATCTTTTTCATTTATGCTATTTTTTTTAAATTTTACTGAAAACAATACAATACATTAAATAAATAAAAGAACACAGTATCAGTTCTTCCACAGAAATTATAAATTTTCATTGTCAAAATATTTATGCTACTATTATTGCGATTTTTCCGTTGCGGCCGCTGCTGCTATTGTTGTTGATTCTTTTTCTTTTGTTTCTGTTATTGCTACTGTTTACATTTCTTCTGATGCTGCTTTTATTTCTGATGTTGCTACAGATTCTTTAATGCTACTTTTGGTGCTAGTTAAGTTGTTTCTGTCTTTCCAACTGCTGCTCTTTTTTCCTTGTTTCTGCGACTTTTGTCGGTTTTTAACCTTGATGGTATTTTCTTTGCTGATGATTTCGTTGTATATTGTTCCGGAGAATTCCGTTGACCCCCTTTTCAGTGTCGTGTATTCTGTTTTAGCTGATTTCGTTGCTGTTGATACAAAATACGCAGTGGGCTTATCACAGGAAGGAACAGACAAGAACTTAGGACGATCAAAATGTGCAGGAATCCCCAAAAAAGTGGACTGTCTTCTCCGGATCCCAGTAGGAGCACCCGCTCTTGAAGGCCCATCTGACTGCTAAAGTTATTAATATTTCTACATCTCTTTAAACGGTGTTTCGTGAAATACTTTCAGGAAAATGGGAAAATACAGAAATAAAATAACAGCTGTTCTGCGGACACTGGAAGTCTTGTTCAATTTAGTGGTGTGATTAAGTAAGAATTAGTAGTTACCTGGCAACGTAACGAGAGGACGGGATGGAGGGAAGCATGGCGAAGGGGGAGGGGATGGTAACCTGCTATAAATGGAGGATGAGGAACAAGGACAGTATCAGTCGCTTCACCTGACGCTTAAGAAGTTAGTTGTGGTCGCTATGAATTACCTCCGAGCCTTGGTTAGTATCTCCTATTTTTGGCGGTGGTGTTGAAAGTTGTATTTCTCATGACTGATACTAGTACTGTTGATCCGCGGAACTTGCTATTGTCATTGTTAGTGGTAGTAGATGTTTTTGGAATGCTTGAAGAATAGACGCATGTTGCAGATCAGTGCTTTTGTTATGAACAATGTATGAGGTGTCATCTGTATGATTTTACTGCTTATAGTTAAAAATAATACCTTGAAGGGCTTTCCTGTTATGAAATACGGAGTATCAAATAAATTTTAATAGCATGGAGAAGATAATGATAATTTATCCATTTAAAGTAAAGTTGGGTATATTCTTTATGATGTAAAATGCAGTCACAACTGAAGAGAAATACAAGCTGTGTTAAGGAGCTTAAATTGCTGTTGGAGATCTACTGAAAGAAGTTTCGTCACACTGTAATACATTCTGTGGTATTAATTGTAGAGACAATGTTAATCAGTGTTATATGGGTCATGGTGAGTCTTGGAGAGAAATGGTACTGTCTACAATTATCCATCTGTAATACTTGTATCAAACTTTAATGTCTATGGTTGATGTACAATCATGGACACTTGACTGAACTTCGATGGTACAATAAGCATGTTCATCAAGTGACCTTCATGGTACCATCATGGTATCTTCCATAAACTTTTAGCGTGGAAAACTGTCAATTTTAAAACGCAAATTGAGTTGATAAACTAGCACAAAATTCGTCATTCAAAACTCTCATTGTCAGCAGCGTCAAGTTACAGACACAAGATTAATCTTTGTCATCTTTCCGTCCCAGATGATGGTGGTGGTGGTGGTGGCCACGGTGGCAATGGCCATGGCTTACCCAGACCCTGTGAGTCAGTATGGATACGGTGGCGGTAGAATTCGGCGGCGGATTCGGCGGCGGATTCGGCGGAGGATTTGGTCGTGGTGGATTTGGTCGTGGCGGATTTGGTCATGGTGGATTCGGTGGCGGTAGATTCGGAGGCGGCTTTGGCGGGTAAGTTAGCATGAGAGAAGTTGCAATAGAACAAAATGGTTATGTATATACGATAAGTAAAATTCTTACAATGAAGTTTTTTCAAATTTCTCGTTGTTGTATGAAATACACATCTAAAAAAAATAAATTATTGTGTAATCTATGAATATTCTACACTTACAGTTCATGAAGTACGCTTCTCATAGCAGGTCTACATTAAATTATACACAATTAACATATATATATATATATATATAATATATATATATATTATATATATATATATAAAATATATATATATATATATTATATATATATATATATATTGTAGGTAGGTTGGTAGACAGCAACCACCCAGGGAGGTACTACCGTCCTGCCAAATGAGTGTGAAACGAAAGCCTGTAATTGTTTTACATGATGATAGGATTGCTGGTGTCTTTTTTTGTCTCATAAACATGCAAGATTTAGGTACGTCTTGCTACTTCTACTTACACTTAGGTCACACTACACATACATGTACAAGCATATATATACACACCCATCTGGGTTTTATTCTATTTTCTTTCTAGTTCTTATTCTTGTTTATTTCCTCATACCTCCATGGGGAAGTGGAACAGAATTCTTCCTCCGTAAGCCATGCATGTTGTAAGAGGCGACTAAAATGCGGGAGCAAGGGGCTAGTAACCTCTTCTCTCTATATATTACTAAATGTAAAAGGAGAAATTTTCGTTTTTCCTTTAGGGCCACCCCACCTCGGTGGGATACAGCCGGTTTGTTGAAAGAAAGAAGATATATATATATATATATATATATAATATTTATATATATATATACATATATATATATGTATATATATAATATATATATATATATATATATATGTCGTGCCTAATAGGTAAAACTGGTCAATTAGCAAGAACTCATTTAAAATTAAGCCCATTCTAAAAATTTCTGTTATACGTTTAAAGATATATTTTTTTCATTAACGTTAATGTAAAAAAATTTAATTTTGCACCAAAAGCATCTTACAAAACTTACCTAACCTTATTATAACAAGCGCAATTTATTTTAGCCTAATTCTACTAAATATATTTTAAATAATTTTACAGTAATTTAATACTAAACAAACACAATGAAATATATTTTTTTCGTTAGGTTTAGAATGATTTTTGCGAAATTATTGCATACACAAATTTTCGCTTGTCCTGTGTGGCAAGATGAGCGTTGCTATTAAAGCCAAGATAGCAAATTCTGCTTATTCGGCACGACATTATATATATATATATATAATATATATATATATATATATATATATATATATATATATATATATATATTATATATATATATATATATATATATATATATATATATATATGGTGAGGAAAAAAAAGCCATGATGTACACCTGCCCCGGGAGGAGTGTATCTAGTGACTAATATTTACATGTCGCCTTCAGTCATCATGGCGGCTTTGGTCATGGTTATGGTGGTGGCTTCGGCAAGTAGAGAGGCAGTTGGGCGGCTGGACGGACACAACAACGACACCTGACCCTGAGAATGACCCCAACAACGAGCCTCGTCTACTGGCGACACACCTGATGGCCAACTTGTAAACATCTGCACTAAAGTTATCTCTCACCAACATTTATGAATAATAAATAGAGTCAAACAGAGTTATCTTGTTTTCATTTCATGTTCGAAACTCTCATTATATAGTATATTTGGCATTTTTTCACACACACAAACACCGGGAGATCCAGAAATGATAAGGGAAGAAGCAATGGTTATGTTTGAATGGTACCCAGAGGTGCGGAGGGAAAAGCAACGGTAAGAGGGAGAGCTGCTTTTTTTTTTTTTTACACAGGTTTGACAAGGTTAGATTAAGGATCCTTAGCTTTATTGACAAGCTATTTACAGGCTAAGGATTCCTAGCTTTATTAATAGACAAGCTAAGAGCTGTTGCCTACATCAGCATTTGAAAGCATTTTTACTGTTATGAGACATACAAGTAGGGAACAGGATGAGGTTGGAGCCATCTGTGGGCCAGCATTTTCATTTGATCAACTGACTTTATTTTTCATGGACTTTAGGAGACCAAAGGGAGGACATATGAAGATGACTGGGAGAGAAAAAAGAGATTGAAAATATCATCAAATAGGATAGGGGGATACTCAAGAGGAAGAAATTGGCCAGTCAAATTGATTTTCAAGACAGAAATAACACCGAACAAGATCCTGCAGTAGAAACCCAGCTAAAGAAAACAAAGTAACAGAGGGTGTACCTAGATTGCGACAAAATGAGAGAGGATACAAAGACAAAAGGGGTAAGAGAGACAATGTTAGATTCAGGAGGAAAGAACCAGAGTCAGGAGGAGCAGCATGCACAATCACACACAGAACCACTCAAAGAACCCCACAGCCAAACATATTATCCCAAAACAAACCACACTCCATATTCACAGGCTCCACCCCACCCCACACAGTAGCCTCCTACAGCACCCTGCCAGGTCTCCCACTCCCCATCCCCAATAAACCCCCTCATAAGAGTGTTGGAAAAGAAGCTGAAGGTATGGTACAAGAATGCAGATGGAATAACAAATAAATCTGAGGAGTGGCAAGAAAGAATCACGGAGGCATCACCAGACATCACAGCACTTATGGAAACCGAGCTCACAGGAATGATAACAGACGCCATCTTTCCAACTGGATATAAGAACCTGAAGAAAGATAGTGGGAATAGAGGGGGTGGAAGAGTTGCACTTATCAAAAACAGTGGAGGTTTAAATTGGAAGGAGGGGACAGAGGACAAGCAAGGGATTACACAGGAGGAACATTTCAGACTGGGAGTCTCAAGGTGGTGATTGCAGTGATGTGTAACCCACCACAGAATAGCAGGCCAAGACGAAAACAACAGAGGAATGGTTGATGCATTAGCTTAGGTGGCCAGAGGGGCCACGCAGGCAGGACAAAGTTACTAATTGTGGTTGACTTCAATCACAAGGAAATTGGGAAAACCTGGAGCCACACAGGGACCAGAAACGTGGAGGGCTAAGATGATGGAGGTGGTACTGGAAAACCTCATGCATCAACACATCAGGGACACTACCAGAAAGAAAAGAGGATGAACCAGCAAGACTGGATCTCATATTCACCATGAGCACTTCAGTGAGGACATCACATATGAAAGGCCCCTCGGAGCTAGTGATCATGTGGTCCTGAGCTTCGAATACATGGTAAAGTTATAAGTGGAGAGAGAAGCAACACAAGTAGGACGGGAGAAGCCAAACTACAAAAGAGGGGACTACACAGGCATGAGGAATTTCCTGCATGAGGTACAGTGGAAAAGACAACTGGTGGGAAAAACTGTAAATGAAATGATGGAATACTTGACCACAAAATGCAAGGAGGCAGAGGAGAGGTTCATACCCAAGGGCAACAGAAATAATGAGAAGACCAAAACAAGTCTTTGGTTCACCCAAAGGTGTAGAGAGGTCAAAACTAAGTACACTAGAGAATGGAAAAAGTATAGAAGACAAAGGACCAAGGAAAATAAGATTAGCTAAAAAGCCAGAAATGAATATGCATGGATAAAGAGAGAGGCCCAGCGGCAATACGACAATGATACAGCATCGAAAGCCAAATCTTACCCAAAGCTGTTGTACAGCCACATCAGGAGGAAAACAGTCAAGGATCAGGTAATCATACTGAGGAAGGAGGGAAGATCACAAGAAACGACAAAGAAGTATGTGAAGAGCTCAACACGAGAGAGACTCAAGTAAGTAAACCATACCCTGGCCGGGATTGAACCTGCGGTCAGAGTCTCAAAACTCCAGCCCGTCGCGTTAGCCATTAGACCAGCTAGCCAAAATAAGATTCGTCCAACGAATCTTATTGTGGCTAGCTGGTCTAGTGGCTAACGCGATGGGCTGGAGTTTTGAGACTCTCTGACCGCGGGTTCAATCCCGGCCGGGGTATGGTTTGTTTGCAATCGTGTCATTACGATTTCGTGAGTCACTCAAGTAAGTGTTTTCAATGGAGACAGAAAGGACTGCAACAAACCGGGATGGGGTGGAAAGGTACACCAACAAGTGCTGGACACATTACATACAACAGAGAAGGAGGTGAAGAGGCTGCTAAGTGAGCTAGATACCTCAAAAGCGATGGGAACGAACATCTCTTCATGGGCCCTGAGAGAGGGAGCAGAGGCACTGTTTGTGCCACTAACAACATCTTCAACACATCTATCGAAACTTGGCAACTACCTGAGGTGAGGAAGATGGCAAATGTAGTCCCAGTCTTTAAGAAGGAGACAGGCAGGTGGCATTAAACCACAGACCAGTGTCACCGACACTGGTCTGTGGTTTAATGCCACCTACCTGTCACGACATGCATAGTATGCAAAGTCATGGAGAAGAGTGGCGGAGAACCTAGAAAGGAATGAACTCCTAAACGATAACCAGAACGGCTTCAAGGGAAATCCTGTGCCACAAACCTACTGGAGTTTACGACAAGGCGACAGAAGTAAGACATGAGACAGAGTGGTGGGTAGACTATTTTCTAGGACTGCAAGGACTTCGACACATTTCTGCACAAGAGATTACTGTAATAGCTTGAGGATCAGGCAGGAATAACAGGAAAGGCATTACAATGAATCAAAGAATACCTGACAGCAAGGAAACGACTGATGGTACGTGACGAGGTGTCAGAGTGGGTGCCTGTGACGAGCGGAGTTCCATAAGGGGCAATCATAGGGCCGGTGCTGTTTTTGGCATATGTGAATGACAAACGGAAGGGATAGATCCAGAGATATTCCTGTTTGCGGACGACGTGAAGCTAATGCGAAGAATTCAATTTCTGAAATCGCCACCGAAAACTGTATAAGGACACCTAAATACAAATGTCTAGCTGCTGTTGCTCTATAACAACAGCAACTGAAAAATGCCTGGTTTTCATTATAACATTGCGCAAGCCAAAAATCACCTTATTTTAAGGCCCATTTTCTCTCTTGAAGGGAAAAACGCCTATCCAGAAAATAAATATCTTTTAGTTTGAAGATTGAGACACTTATGTAACATATGGGAACCTTTTTTGAGGAAACGTTTCGCCACACAGGGACTGATTACCTCAAACTCCTCCTCTCCTTGCACCTTTCTGCTTTGTATTGGACTGATGAAGCCACTGTGTGGCGAAACGTTTCTTCAATAAAGATTCCTGTATGTTGCATAAGTGTCTCAATCATAAACTTGTAGGCTTTTAAACCATTTATCACATCTTTTAGTTTAAAATCTGCTCTTTCTAATGAAGTTTTTTTTTTTATAAGAAAATTGGTTGTGCTGCTTTTTGGTATTAATCTTCAAAAATGGCTTAAAATTCACCGAGAGGTTTGTGAGGGCATTTTTAGGTAACACTAGCACAGGAACTTAAAAACTCTGGAGTCTGATATTTTAGGATTATGATTATTTCCATGACGACATCTACTTGGGTAGCTGGCTATAATAATGTCATACTAAAATAATGTTTTCTTTTAGAGACAGGCAACTGAATTCAAGATTCAATTTTACGCAACAGACTTTTTTTTTGCCTATTTTGGCTTCATACTGTGAAAAAGTAAAATGATATAAGTTTTAGGACTGCGATTTTTTTTAAAATCAGCTCCAAAACTTTTACTCTTCAAGCTCTGCCACAGCAATAACCTGAACATTGTTGACTGTGTGCTGCAGGTTGATAAAATTTAAACAAGCGTCCACTCTTAGGGTCATAGCATTACTACTATTGTATATCATGAACTAAAGCTTCCCCGAAGTTAGTATGACATATATGCCAACCTTCATGTAAAATTTTATCGAAACTGGAGATGGTCAGGTGGGGACCCCTGGTCCACTTGACCCATGAGGATCAAATTGGACTACAAAGGGATCTAGAAAGGCTGCAAACCTAGTTTAACAACTGGCTCCTGGAGTTTAACCCCCACCAAATGCAAAGTCATGAAGATTGGAGGTGAAAGTACAGGTTAGGGGGGCCAAAGACTACAAACCTCACTCAAGGAATAGGATCTGGGTGTGAGTATAATACCAAGCACATCTCCTGAGGTGCATATCAACCAAATAACTGCTGCAACATATGGGCGCCTGGCAAACCTAAGAACAGAGTTTCAACACCTGAGTAAGGAATTGTTCAAGACTGTACACCGTGCATGTCACGCCCTTATTGGAGTATGCAGCACCAGTATGGACCCCACCCCAGGTCAAGCAAGTCAAGAAATTAGAGAAAGTGCAAAGGTTTGCAACAGACTAGTTCCGGAACTAAGGGGTGTGTCCTACGAGAAGAGGTTAAGGGAAATCGACCTGACGACAATGGAGAATAGGAGGGATAGGGAGGACATGATAGCGATATATAAAATACTTGGAGGAATTTACAGGGTGGATAGGGACAGGATGTTTCAGAGATTGGACACAGAAACATGGGGACACAAGTGGAAGTTGAAAACTCAAGTTAGTCACAGGAATGTTAGGAAGTATTTCTTCAGCCATAGAGTTGTCAGGTAGTGCAGCAATCTGGAGAGTGATGTAGTGAAGGCAGGAGCCATACACAGCTTCAAGAAGAGAGGAGTTTACGACGACCAGCGAGGGGCCAGGCGCTGTGACTCGACCCCTGCAACCACAAATACGTGAGTA